TTGGGGGGAGGGATTTTTTTTTTTTTTTTGCTTAAATAAACAATTTTTTGTACCCTGTAATTTTGCATACTAATTTTGCATCTTCTTGCTGACAAAAATAGCATTAAATAAACAAACTAAAACACTTCATGGAATTTGCACTGAGAGACATTCAGGACTATGGAACCTCTTAATTGCTCGTAGGACAATTACCAAGACAGGTAGATAAAAAATTTTCAGTTTTGCTGGTACAGCAGATTATAATTTAATTTAAATTTTGCAGGCAGTTTAGATGCATTGTATACTTGTGCACATCAGCATGTATTTATAAAATAGCTTTGTTCCTATGTCCATAGTTATTCCCTGTATAGTTGTATATGGGCTTTAGGGCTCAAAATTCACTTTTCCATAGTAAATGTGTGCTGTTCGTTTAAAGGAGTGGAGAAATCTGAAGCAGAAGAGAGACGAGAATTACCAAAAGGTGATGTGCTGCTTAGTGCACCGTTACTTGACCTCCATGAGACAGAAGATGCAAAGTACAGATCAGGCAACGGTGGAAAACCTCAACGAGCTGCGGCAAGACCTGTCCAAATTCCGCAACGAGATGAGAGACCTGCTGGGCTTCCGAACGTCCAAATACGCCATGTTTTATCCCAGGAACTGAGGCCTGGCTTTGGAACGGGAGGGGTGTGCTTGCAGGTAACTGGAGGTGGAAGTGTTGCCCTCATTCTATTTCAGATCGTATCGATGATACATTGCACAAAAGTGCATTTCAAAATGCGTTTGCACGAGTCGCAGCTGCAGCCCAGGGGTTGGAATAAATGCAAACCCAGATACAGGCATTTTCTGAGGCTTTTGGGGTGTATGTCAGATTTGTATATTGGAGTTTTTGAAATGTTCCTCCGAGCGTGGCTGTCAGGTGTCAGAGCTTCAGAAGTAGCACGACGCCTTCCTTTCTTCTATTTTTGCTGCTTGTTCTTTTTTGATACTCGCTTTTCAAGTGGTGGGGGAAGATAGGCTTTTGAAAACAAAAATCCAGCCTGGGTTTATTTTTTAATAGAAAAGTCAGATATAGAATAATAGAAAATTCCCAGCACAGTTGGAAATTATGTTTGACTGTAGGTTACAGTGCATGGGAAGACTGTATGGCTCTGAAAGAGGCAGTTCTAGTTTTGTATGTTAATGTGAACTAACATTTATAGAATACAGCACGTTAAATCACCAAGACTCTTCCCTTTCATGGGAGCATTGACATTTTGAACACAAAGTAGACCAGCTGTTTCTTGAATGTTTATGATTCTGTGTAAGACAATCGGTCCCTGCTTGGATTTTTCAGCAGTGCCTCAGTAGTACATTTTAATATTTGTGCCAAGACTGGGAACAGAATTTCACCACTAACCTGTGAATGTTTGATGTCTTGGGGTTTTAAAATCTGGATAATAAATTATTTGCATTATTAAACCTTGTGATGTAATGAAAGTGAGGTGGAGCAGATGAGTGCTGTTTGCAGTGCTGAACAATTCCTGTGAAACGTTCTACCCTTGTTTCTGTGAGATCATGGGGTCTGGTCACTGGAGAGATGTGCTTTAGAATGGTCTGCTTAACATGGGTTTTACATATCCTACTTTTAAACTCCTTTTTCTTTTTTCCTGTTTTTTACCACAGCTGTTGCCAAGCTAGAATTTAGTTTGTGTCAGGAATACTATATTTTGTGAAAACGTGTGATCTGACTTTGCTTACAATGGACAGTAAGGGCTTTGTGGATTTTCTGTGCTAGAGGGTCCTTTCTATGCTTATATTATATTATTCAAGCTGACAAATTGTACTTGAGAAATGTGAGATTCCTGTATTTTTAAGTACCACATAAGTATATTTATGACAGCTAAAGGGTTGATTGACAATGTTGTTGTTATGATGGTGCTGTTCTAAAATGGTTGTGTGTGCAGAAGGCACAGGCAGCCAGAGTGCTCTTGGACCACAGGAGATCTGGGGAGATTGATGGAGTGGAGCTCACACGAATGTTTACTTTTTTGAAGGAATTCTTATAAAACTCTTTCTTGTAAAGGTAATATATTTTCTGTACTATGACATTATGTATTTCTGAAGGAGGTTTTAATACTCTGCTTCCAGAGGTGTTACGGTCTGGAGGGATTCTGGTACGTGATTTCATGAGAGTAGGAGGTTACCATGTTGGTTCAAAGCAAAGAGGATCACTGAGCTTTGTACTGGGACTCAGATCTCATGTCTGGATAATGCACCAACATAAAAACTGTGTGCTGTGTATGTTACAGAGATTCCAAAAAGGAAGCAGACAAATAAAAGCTCTTTGAAAAATGTGGTTGTGTTAATATTGCACAGTCATACTGCAAACACCTTGTATCAGGTACCTCACTGAAAGCAATTGGTCATGTCAAGGTTGTAAGTTGAAGGAAGGTGGCTGGTGTCAGTGTGTTACTACTGCCTTTTGTTCTGCTGGACCCAGCCTGTTTGGTTCACTGAAATGGCATCATCCAGTGCCATGAAGAGATGCTGGATGGGCTGACTGCTTTCCAGATGTTCAGCAGAGTCACTCAGAGCCAGCTTGGTCATTGTGCTGTGGCACGGTGTTCTACTGCAGTGTAGATGTCCTTGGGCAGAACTGTTGTATTTCCAGGCTCTTTGGGGGGGTTTGGGTTGGAACTGGGGGTCCTGGAGTTTTTATTTGTCACTGAAATACATACCTGTAAAGTGATGGGGCCAGAGAGAGAGGAGTTAGTTCTCTGTTACACCTTAGTTAGATAACATTTTGCATCTGTTCTGTTTGAAAGCTGCTGTAGTCCTGCTGTCTGCTTGGCTGCTAATCAGTACAGAGTGCTGGTTACCCAGTCTTGTGTGATTCAGATTTTCCTGGTTCATGTGTGTTACACATTCTGTTGCTTTCTCATTTGGCAGTTTAGTACCAGCTGTTCCAGTATTGTTGGGGATCCTTTATGCCCACCCACAGAATAGTTCTGGACATGCACAGAAACGAAATGTTAGATGTCACAAAAAAACCTGGGAGAAGCTGCAGTTTATTTGGCTATAGGATTCAGAATGTCCTTGTACAAATGTTAGTGCCAGTCATAAAAGTACTAAGTTGGTTTTTTAAGCTGAAAAAGGTCGATTTTTCTTCCCTTTCTATTAATGTCTGTTTTATCCTAAAGCTAACTTTGCCTTGATGAATGAGAAATGGAAATGGAAATTCTCATGCCACCTGCATTTGCAACAGAAAGGTCCAACCCACTCATTACTGAAAGTAAAAGCTTATCTTATGCTCTTGCTAAACTGTGGTTTTGATTATTATCTCTGTAGAAATTATTTCAGAAATGGTTTTGTGGTTAGGTAATTTTGATCCCGTCTGGTTTCAGGTTGGGTTTGAAATGTTAGAAATTTAGAGTCACTACAACCTGCTTCCAAAAACTTGTAACAGTTGTTACCTGTCTCACTTGCTAAAACTGGCAGTGCTCCTGTGTTTCTGTTCCCTGTTGCAGGCCTGCTGCTGCCAGTGCATTGATTTGGGAAAGGACCTGGTCTGAAGGGAGTGGTGAGAAGAGCAGCCCAGAGCTTTCCCTACCTGCCATTTGGTAGATGAGGAATAGGCTGCCAAACCCTTCTGGCCTCAGTGGAAAAAGCTGCCTGACAGATGGGCATGTCATCAGAAATAAAAATAGATTATTGTAGTTCAGGAGAGTTCTGAGCAGGATTTCCACATTGCTCCTCCCCAGGCTGCTGCCAAGAAATGCAGAGAGCACTGTGCATAAAACCCCTTAACCTGCACAGGAATCAGCGCTGGAAAATGGAAAGTTCAGTTTCAGAGTTACAAAACCAGATCTGCTTTGCAAACCAACGATGCTGTCGGTTCCACGGGGAAATGCTGTTTGCTTTGGGCAGTCAGGCAGTCTGTGAGTGGGGTTGCAGCACTGAGCTGTTGGATGGGAGCTGCCAGCACAGCCTCTTTGTGCCTCTGAGCCTCCCTCTGGTGCTTCTGTCCCCTGCCCAGCTGCCCGTGGAGTCCTTGGAGCAGCTGCTGCACTGCTGAGCTGCACCAAGAGCCATTCTGGTGGGAATCCAGAGTGGAGGAGAATCGTAATCTGCATTCCACTGCTGAAATAAGCAATGGGCACTTCCAGCAGGGCCTGGGGATTCCATTAGTTTCCTGCCCATGGTTGCAAATTATCCAAAGAACTCTGCTCTGGTATTTATAGACAAGGAAAGCAAGTACTTAAAGAGGTTTTGGATTCTATTCCATCCATGTTGTTCTTATTAGTATTCAGGTTTCCCTAGTTTGAACAGCATGTATTTCATATCTGCTTTGGACAAAAATGTTCTTCAGCTTCTCAGTATTAATCTTGACTCGTAATCTGCTCCTGCTCCTCCGCAGAAGGTTACAGATTTGATTATAACCTTTCAGAGTAACAAATAACTGCATACAACAGACAGGCCAACAAAGGCACTGTCTAACTGCTTCCAGTCTGCTCGCTGTTTAGTCTCAGAATAGCATTTGTTCAACCTTTTGCATATAGGAATGAAGTAAATTAGACAGAGCTGCTCCTATTTACGCTGCTGGTGCCCCACTGAGCATTGCTGTGTTGTCTGTCCTTTCATGGGAGAGATGAAAATTTACACTATTTGCACGTGTACTTTACCACCACTAAATTAATTCCTGCCTTCCTCCTCCCTGATTTCCTTACAGAACTTATTAGTGGCATTTACTAACTAGGCAGTCATCAGTGGGAAAAGCACGGTGCTGTTTTACAGTTCCCTAAGTCTTTGAAGGATAAATCCAGTTCCTGTTCAAATCAGTGATTCACTGACTTCCCTGTAAGGAGAACCAGGCCTTTAATCAGCAAGAAGGTGTCAGTCAAACTGTGCATGACCCAAACCATCAAAAGCATGTCAATTATCAAAAAGGAGTTTCTATGTTTAGCCTGCCCCACTTGCTAAATGATTCATAACTAGGTGGTGTATGATTTAATCTTAAAATAGTTTATTAAGCACAGGTAATAATGCAGAAATCCATGTAATAAAACAACTTCAGAGAAAAAGCGAAGTTAAAATGAGTTGCTATAAATATTGCACTTAGAATTTTTCATTTTACATACACAACTCCTTTAAAAAATTGGACAGTTATAAATTAACATCTTCCAAGTAACTGGAATTTGTATGTTTGAGATCAGGTGGCTGTGCTGCAAACCTTGAGACTCAGGAGGATTTGTTCTCACCCTGTACCTGTGATGGATTTCACTTTGTGCCAGCTGTGCTTGGGTGGCTGGAGGGAAGGAAGGGGCAGCGTGGTCTTACTGTTGACAATGAAAATTGTTTTTCAAGACAGATGAGAGAATGCAGCTGTAGAGTTCAGGTTTAACACGTTTTGTTTTTCAAGGCATTTAGCATCTTGGAGTTCTTAGTCTTAAAACTCATGACAAAGCTGTTGGGGAAGACTTTGCCTCTGCCATCTTCTTCCACTTGGCCCATGATGATGTAGTTTAAACCTGCGAAGGAGAGAATGAGATTACAGGACAGAAGTCAGTGATGTCACTTGGTAAGTACAGTTCCTCACCTGTGGTCTCTGTTCATGTGCACTGTTTTGCACAGTTAGGCACAAGTAGACACATAGCTAAATAATAAATAATCATCATTAAATAGAGGGGGGGATAGTCATTAAATGGAGAGACTGTCAGGTGAGTCTGAAAGGCATTAGAAGTGCAGCATAAACACTGGATGATTCAGGCCCCACACCCAGAGTGGAATGCGTGTCCTTTATTTCAGTGTTTGCTCAGATTTATGTTGATGGCCATGAGAGTTTATAATGCACTTAAATCTTTGCATTCCCATTTCCTCCCCAAAGACAGAAACGTTTTCTGGGTACACAGAGAGGCAGTCAGCATGGACTTGGCTTTGGGAAACCAACTGCATTTGCACATTTCCATGGCCCAGAAGGGTCAGGGCTTGGCAGGGTCTGAGGCTGGAAGGATTGGAATCATAAGGATATAAACAGGGAAGTTTAGATACTGAGTAAAGACCGTTAAATAATTCACAGATATTCAGGATGAGAAACACAGGAGTGTGGTTTGGAGCCAGCAGTCTGTGTAAAAGGAGACAGCTGGTTCCACCAAGGACATTATGATGTCTCCCAGTGTCTGCTTTCCAGATAACTACAGCCAAAAGCTAGTTTCTGATCAGGATTTTTCACTTTGTTACTGCCAACCTTGAATTAATATTCCTAAACACCAGTGCTATCCGGAACACTATCAGGGCTTTTTTAATGCTTATTAAATTATTTTGAATGTTTCCTGCTATGGTTCCATTTATGTAAAACCAAAATCTATTTGAGCTTCATTTGAGAGAACCAAATCAGATTTTACCTTGTATCACATGGCTTTTAAAGGAAAAAAAAAGGGGTTTTCGAAGTCCTTTGATCTAAGTAAGCCTAATCCTTTTAAAGTATAACTGGAAAATGCAACAGAAACCTGGATTACTGGTTATTTTTAGCTTCAATTGGTTATATTACTGATTATAGAAACAAGTTTACTAATGTTACTAATTTTTGTGGCCACATTTCAAGAAGTAGTTTTCAAAGCTGCTGTCTTTATCAAAACACAGAGCAGTTCTTCTTTTGTACTTACCTCTCCTGATGAGAGGGCACTGCTTACACACAACCAGAAGCTTGGCACTCATGTTCTTGCCAGCTTGTTGAATTGCCAGATTGCCCTCCTTGTAGACGTTGATGATGGCGATGGTTGCATGCAGGCTGCCAGCCCGGGGGGTCGTGGTGATCACAGTGCCAGTGATGACTGGGAAAGAAATGTGGTACATTTACATTTTAGACATGAGTTTTGTGGCACCGTAAAACTTAGTAAATATATCAGTGCCTAATAAGGAAACAATACTGGCAACAGTTCCTAAAAATATTCCTATCACCTGTAATAAATAACCCACTACTGTCAAATTTTGGTAGCACCAAATATGAGATGGTTCTAGGATGTGCCGGTCTCTTGCAGGCCCAGTTCTTGGGGTTGATAATTTCTTTAAACAGTCCAATTTTATCCTCCTTTAATGACTCATTTTAAAACAGTGCAGAAGTTGAAAGTCTGGTAGCCAGAAGCTGAGTTCCCAGCTCTCTTACACTCCCAAATGAGTAGCAGGGAATAGTTCATGCCCTAGGAACTAAATTTGCATCTGTCTGAGGCCTGATACAAATTTGCCAACTTCAGCTAAATGTACATTACAGATTAGACATCCTATCGCCCAAAGATCTCTCAGTATGAAAATAAAAATATTTTCTTTTCCTTGGGATGACTAGAGTACCTCCTAAGCCATCTTTGTCTGTCAGGAGGAAATGGTCATTGGTATTATCAATTTGTCTTCTTCTCAGGTCAGCTTTTATAAATTAGATATTCTATCCTGGGATCAATTAGATCTTCAGTAATCAAGTATGTACAGCCAGGTTTATTTACTAAACTGCATAATCCACATTTTGGGTTATGTGTTTGCACATTATCTTTCTTTAATACAGAGCTTTTAATTAAATTCAAGTTCAGTCAGAAAGAGAACTGTGGATTTTAAAATGCTGGGTATTGCAGCTATATTTCTAGAAACAATGACAGTGAAATGCATGATGAAAGAGAAGTAGCTCTTATTTTCCAAATCCACAAAGTCATCCAATAAACTTGGAATCAGTCATAATCTACGTACAGCAGACTTCCTATTCTTACCTTGGGATATGCTTACATTCACAGTAGCACATAAAATATTTTTACTCTCAGTCCTGCCATGGAAAAGGCTGAAAAATATCAAGTACTTGCCAACAGGTGAGACAGGAGAATGTGATTTATTACCCTGATGGTAGAGGAAAAAAACAAGTTTTCGCTAGTGTCATTTACCATCAGCCACAAGCGAGATGTGGTCAGTGAGAGGAGACCGTTTCTCCTCAGGGCTTTGTGTCTGTGCACACAGCAGTGCTTGGGAGTTCCACACCTTCTTCTAAAAACACCGTGGAGGTGTACACAGTGAACTGTGGCACAGTCAGCAGCTGCAGCAGGATGTGTTGGCTGCTTACAGACACGAGATGACACCACAGTAACCGAGTCCATCCTTCCCCGTGCTTGGCTGATGTTCTCGTTTGCTTTTCAGATGGAGAGAGACATCTGTGCAGTGCCTGTTCCAGAATATCTCCAAGGATGTATTGAGGGACACACAGATACTGCTGTCAGATACACATGAGGTGATGTAAAAATATAGCCTATTATATTAATGATAACTCAGAACTACATCTGGCAAAACTCCCTGGAGTCTAAAAACACAGTGCCGAGTGAACAGTTAAAAAGAGACTTTGCCTCCTTACCAAAGTTGCTTGAACAGTAATTGCTTTCCAGAGTCCCACTCCTTTTACACTTCTGCTGGCACAGGGCAACTGTAGGTTTTGCAACTTTTGGAAGAGAAGAAGTAAATTGAAATTGGAATGAAGCATTTGGTGCAAGTGCAAAGCAGTATGTTTAAAAAAAAAAAAGAGAAGAAAGATGAATAATCCTGAACTATACATGAACTAGATCTGGCATTGCAAGGCATGAGCACCACACAGGAACAATATTCCTTTTCTCTGCCATCACCTCCAATGATCATCTTTTCAGGTGTCTCAGCTGTGTCTGTTCTAGTGACCTGATGGAACGGGGTGTTACAGAAAACTTACATGTGATCACAGTGGGATCTTAAATATCTAACCAAGTGCTTTGCCACACAGCCCTTGTAGTACACTTGAAACATAATATAAATTACAGTAATGCCTCTGAGGGAGGGGGTGGCTTTTATTGGAAATTACTGTGATGGAAGGGATCAGAGTTCAAAGTCCTGATTTATTTTCTTTTTTCAGAATTTTTTACACAGCTTCCTGACATGTAGTACTGCATGGTTTTTATCCATGCCCTTTTGAAACACGTTTGAAGGGTGTATTTAACACTAGGGATTGACATTTCCATTCAGAAACGGAATGCTTTGTTTATAAACAACTGAATACAATTGGTATCTTTCTCCCACTTGGGTAGATGTTAATGGTGTCTGTACTTCCCTCAGCTGACCCTTTCTACATAACATGTTGGGATGCAGGACTTTAAGGCTTTTATATCCTTTTCAGATTGGATGGAGGTGAGACAGATAGATTTAAAAATTGTATTTATAGCATTTATTTCTTCAAGTACTAATGTTTTTATGCAAGATGGAGACTGAGGTAATTCTTGAAAAGTGCCTACTTAATATTTTATTCATTCTTGCCTGGAGTTCTGTGCAAGTTTGAACAGATCTGATTTCCAAGATAATAAGCTAAATCTATTTGAACTGGACACTTCGGAATGCAAATGATGGCTCAGAAATGTAACCAAACTGCAGAGCTTTGTTTTGCTGTGGTTTGTTTTTAAGATCAGAAGTGCTTACATCACACAGAACTGATCAGACAGTGAAAGGACCTCTTGCTTTGTCTGCCTGACAAGTGCTTTGGAAACGCTCCCTCTGTTGTCCTCTCTCAGATGAATCTGCGTGGTTTTATTTTCTGACACTGATGTTGTCATAAAAATTGGAGTTAATTGGTAAAGCTCACCCCTCTTCCCTCACAGGGTGGAATGATGGCAGAGCCTGAACGCGAGGGGAGAGCTGACAGCCCGGGTTACTGCAGACCAGGGCTCTGAATAACAACTGCATTAAAGAGTGCTTTAGAGTGAAGAGGAGCTGAATTATTTACTGTCAGAGCAGCAGTCACAGCAGAGTGATTTACAGGTCATTGTGATTTCATTTTTCTAATGTTTTCATCTACTTTAAATACCTTTCGTTAGCACTATTTAAACACCACAGCTCCTTGGTTTCCTGCCGATGGGCCACTGCTGTCCTGACTTTGGATGCATTTGAAGCACAAATCAGGTTATGCCTTGCAAAAACATCATAAATAATTCGCTTTTCTGCTATAACTGTGTCTTAAATCTCTCACATTCAGGTTACAGAAATTCAAAGAATGTATCCCTTCAGTATCTCAGTAATGAGCTGGTTTTGGCAACACCTTCAGAAAAATCCTCCTCTGATCTTTCATAGATGCTGTCTAGTCTAAAATATAAAAGGAAGCTTATTTTTAGGGTGACATATTTCTTTTTATGTTCCAAATAAACATAATTCTAGGAGGGTGTCACATTGACAGGGTGTTGGCAGAATATGAAGAGGGCTCAGGTGTGTTCCAGACCAATTTTGCTTGATGCTAATAACTATAGGAAGAAGAATGCAGTAAGATTTTTGCCTATCAACTTTTATAAAAGAAAGAATTCCTTTAAATAAAACTATTTCCTGAAATAGTTAGAACTTCTTATACAAAAGAAATTTGCTCATCCATTCTTCTATGGCATTTTCTAGTTAACTGTCCCAAATTTAGAAGAGACAGGAATGAGTTACTGTTACATTTAACTCTTGCCTGGATAGATTTCCTTTTTAAAATGCTAAGTAGATTCTCCCAGGTGTATATTAAGGTACTCTTTTGAGTCTATTAATTTTCATTAATTCCTTCAACATTTGAAATACTAACAAACCATAAAACTTGAATTTTTAATATACCCTCTACTTGTCCTGGAATAATTCATTTTTCTAAGAAATTATGTAAAGCCAGTAAAACTTACTTGAGGTAGCAGGGACTGTTGTGGTTGTAGGTGGAACTGTAGTTGTGGGTAACTTTTTTGGTCTAAATTTATAATGGCCAATAAAACCATCAGCTGTTAAGCTTAAATCGGACAAAAACTGAATGAGCAACTCGTTTCTCTCAGACAGAATAGGCCTGAAACAGAAAAACAAAATAAACTATTTCCATTATTTTGAATGACAAAGCCAAATAGCATTAATAGCATTCCTTAAGAAAAAAACAGAGTGCTTTTGTTTAATGTGTGAATGCAGTGGCTGCCACCAGACTAGCACTGAAAATACTGAATGGCTCTTTGCAGGTGTGTCACACACTGGTGTTCTGAGGATGAAACTCATTTTGGTGAATCACTCAAAACTCTGATTCCTGAAGGTTATTACCAATATGAGTATCCTTAAATTCTTCAGTGGGAATTCACTGCAGACCTCACTATGATGGGATGGAAGGGGCCAGACTAACACAGGGGGAAAATACACTGAAGAAATCCTCAGTATGTAGGGGAGGTAAGGAAATGGGGAGTTCAAAATGTGGTGTTTAATGAAAAACATGTTACACATTTGGAAAGGCTTAAGAAAATTATTTCAATTCTGGGTTCTGCAATTCTTCAACAAAACCACCAAAAACAAAATGTTTGGGGTTATTATTTCTGGGGGCTCACTTTCTGTCACTTATTGGACATTCATGACCAAGGCTTTAAAGAGCTCATTGAGTTACTTTCTTAAAATCTGAAATGTCATGGACAGGCACTGCTCAGTGCATTAACTTTCAGCTCCCAACTGCACAGCACCTTCTGTGACACTGTGACTGCCTCTGGGTGTGGAGGTGGTGCAGTAACCCTTGACTCAAAGCTAGTGTGTGGGAAATGATGTGGAGTACAAGTCTAGCCAAAGCAGCACTTCCCTCATTCTTTGGAGCTTTCCACAGGCCCTGTGTCAATATTCATTAATAATTAGTAACATCAAGTTTTCAAGCACAACCAGTTTTTGGAAAGAGGAGGAAAAATGAATATAGAGGCAAAGGAATCTTGGTGAGGAGAGAAGAAAATAGCAAGTGATTTTAAGCTGTAGTTTGACTAAAATGACTGTGTTGTTTCTTCCCAGCAAGTCTGAGCTCATGAGCAGGGCTTCTTCGAAACACTTTCATCAGGCCTTTGAAGTAAAAACTTGTCATCATCTCCCATTTTTTGGGGCAGATTGTCCCAAATCAGTTTACCCTGATGGCCGAGTCTGACACAAACACTGAGTGCCTGGCTGGCTGGAGTTCTCTGCATTTCCAGCTGCTGTGGTAGTGGCACAGCTCACTCTTTTCTCACTGCAGCACTGGCACAGGCTGGAGATGTAGGAGGGCACTGATTATCAGCTGCCCAGGAGCTTTGTTCTGCTTCCTGAACACCTGCAAGGCCAAATCTGAAAACTCTGAGCCAGCCTGTATATCCTGTCTTCTCAAAAAGTGGCTGAGAGAGAAATAAGGCAGATGAAGTGAGTAAGGAGCCAGAGAGCTCAGCTGCATCCTCACGCTTCAGTGTCTGTAATCAAAACATACATTAAGTGATGGTAAATGTTCAGCTGCCATTAGTATTGGCATTATACCAATGTGAAGAGCATTAGGATTAGTGTTGGTGTTATTAGACTGGTCTAATGAGGCCTGGGGGACAGGAGAGAGCAGGGGTTGGAGCCAGGGCTAGTCATGGAGAGAAAAGAGAAAACCCAGAGAGAGACAAGATACCAAGCAACTCCTCGAAGTTCAACTGGAGGTAGAAAATGTCGTGTTTACTTTAAAAAATAATAAAAATCTTTCAGAAGCCGAGTAGCAAACTGTAGCAGCAGCTACAAACAGTGACTGCAGGGCTGTGTTAGGACCCACAGTGGAGCTGAAGTTCAGAATTAAGGAAGTTACTCACGCTGGGGGACTGTCTCCGCAGTACTTCCCAATTCTTTTGGCATCATTGATTTCCCCACCATTAAACACTGCTACATAGTCATATCTGCAGTAGTTGTCTCTCTCCACATCAAACTTCTCGAACTTTAGCTCTATTAGCTACAAGGAAAATGTAAATAACTCATTTATTGGTGCTTCTTGTAGTGACATCTTCACGTGAAGTACTATTTGATTTTTTTTTCCATAGTGGAAAGTCCTTAATGCACTTAATTGTAAGGTATTTGGATCCACATGACCTCTCCAACAAATAGCTCAACATACGGTTCTACTATTCTGTAAAACATTTTCTTCTCAAGTGCATGCAAGTAACTTCTGATGAAGTTATTTTTATGGGTGAATGATAACAAGATAGTAGGTGGTAGGTGTTACGTTGCTTTTAAAATAACTGTACAAGTAGAAACCCCAGAAAAGGGGTGTCATTTCATCATTCAGGATACGCTGATGAGAAAGCAAAGGCAAAAGTTGGTAGAGCCATTTCACTGACTTCATTAACAGCAGGGTTTCAATCACTGGTTGCCAATGCTGTGTACATTTAATGCAGAATTTAAAAAGTTAGAAATTAAAATACTGATAGGAAAAAATTAGCAAATAGTAAAACTAAAACCATGAGAAAGTAAGTAGTTAAAAGAACTGTGTCTCCATGTCAGATTTCCTGAAATGTTGAGGCTTTACCAGTCATAAACTCCTGTAACTCTGGTGTTTCCAGTGCTGATCCATTATCTCCGATGACTCGTATTTATGGAATTTTTTTACTTAAGGAAGAAAAACAACAGACGAGAAAACAGAAATGGAATCTGCTGCTCTGAAAGGCAGTCCTGCAGAATGACTCTGTCAGTCATGTGCAGCGAGGAAGGGAAACACAGCCTAACTGCTCCATGGAAACAGAGGTAATATATGCATTTAGGTTGCTGCTTTATGTGAAGCACAGCAGGATTTAAAACATCTTCCCATAAATAGCACAGATGAGGCTTGAATGACAACACTCAATTGTGCTGATTGTAGATGTGCAGGATTTCCTTTTAAAGGTCTGTCTCAAACAAAGGTGGTATTAAAACTCCTAAGACTGTACAGAGAAAAAGGAGGAATTTGTAGATGGCTTACACTTGATTTGATTTACTAACACAGTAAAAGTTATCTTGTTCTGTATTCATTGTAATGGTAGCCTGTTAGCACCTGATGTCTTAGTTTTGCCTGACTAAGCTTTTGCACTAGTCAGATGTTTAAGGCATAATTTTCTTTCCCATAAAGCATGAGCAGCCTTGGGGCCTTGGTTTCAGAGATGACTAACAGGCTTGTTTCAAAACCCTCAGCATCGTGATGGAAAATGCCCTTTAAATGAAAGTGCCCATCTGAATAATATTCTTATGATCAAAAAAGATAGTATAGAAAGAAGCCAAGCAACTGGGAATAGAAATGCTAAATTCTTCCAGAGCAGGCAAAGCAGCAGGCCACAATGTCTGATTCACCACTGTTCAAAAGTGCACTTTGCACTAATAACTATTTCATGATAGAAGAGAAGCTCTTCATCTTCTGTAATATATAAATTATTGGTTTGTATTTAAAGAAACAAGAGAACCTTGTGTTATTGCTCACAAGCTCATGAAATGGAAATAGAGACAAGAGCACCTGAACTTTGGCAAAAGGAAGACTGAGGAGCTTTTTATGTGCACTTGAAGAGAGATGCTTATTCCCTGCTTCCTCAAAAACTGCTTTTATCACTATCAAAATTCTGCCTTATTTGCATGCAAAAAACCCACTGTTGCAGTAGATGACTAATCTATATTTGGAAACAGGTAGATTTATGGAACAGGATCACCAAAAGACACAGGATATAATGCATAAATTTTGATGCTTATATAGCCTTTCTAAAATCTTCTCTGTGAGCTTAGGAGAAGTTCTTAGGCTTATCTAGAGACATTTGGAAAGAACCAAAGTAATCTGCAGTCTACAGATAAGGTTTTAAAAATAACTGCCTATCTATAGGATTGTTACATGACCTGCATCTGGCAAACAAGGGATGTGGATTAAAGAGGAGTATAGGGAAGACTAAGCTGACATCTTGCTTCAGTTTAAGGGAGAAACTATCCTGAGAAATGGAAAAGGATGAAAGATCAGAAGAATATATTTATCTGGGGCAGCTTTTTTATTTTGAGGGTTACAGTCACGAGCGGAAGATGAAGAGGAAAGTCATCTTTACCTGTAAATGTATTTAAAAAGCTGGCTGTGGCAAGAAAAGCCACCTACCAAAACATTCAGTCACTGTAGACCTCCTGCCAAGGTACAGAGCAGATGGCTCAGCAGCAACCAGAAATGTGGATTGAGATTAGCCCTGTGGCACAGGGAACAAACTTGTGTTTGCCACGGGTGGCACAGGAGCCCTCTCTGTCTGCTGTCACATCTTGTCACATCTTAATGAGGTGGTAACGTGCTCTCATGGCACCTGGCTAATCAAGCATGTTATGAGATGGAGCCTTCGACATAGGAAATAAAACTATGAAATATACATTGAAAATCTCTGTCCAGGACACAGCCAGATGTATTCCCTGTGGTGTAAGAACAATAACACAATTTCTGCTCTTAGTAAATTCAATCAGCTCTGCCTGGGTACCTCAGTAAGAAACTGCAGCAACACCAGAGATGCTCAAACATTGTTGGACATAAACATAGCATTGGTCTGTTTGGTGCTGAGATGATCACCTGCCCTAACTTAGTTTGCCTAATGATTTGTGAATTAGCAAAATAATCTTAAAAGAACCCTGGTGTAAGAGCCTCACCAGTCAGAGATGCCTTAACAGGCTGGATTTGGGGGAGTGTGTCAGTGCAGGGCAGAGGATGGTCAGTGCGACAGGGGATGATCCCTGGAGTGTGGCTGTGCCTGCAGCGTGGCTGGGGCAGTACAGGCTGTGTCCCTGAGCCAGCTGCTGCTGGGATGGGAGTCCCTGGAGGTCATGCCAGCTGAGCCTTACCTGGTTCTTGGGGGCAACGATGTGCCAGGAGCAGGTCACTCCCGCTGGGTAGTCTCGCTCTGGCCAGTTGGGCGTCTGGAAGGACCCCGAGGGCTTCTCCAGTCGCCCCCCACAGTACTGGTCCCCTGCAATGCACACACCCAGCTGAGCAGGGCACAAGCATCATCAAGTCCAGCTCTTAACCCTGCACAGGACCATCCCCAAGAGTCACACCCTGTGCCTCAGAGCATCATCCAAACACCTCTTGAGCTCTGGCAGCCTTGGGGCTGTGCCCACCGCCCTGGGGAGCCTGTCCAGTGCCAACCACCCTCTGGGGGAAGAACCTCCTTCTAATAACGACCCTAAACCTCCCCTGACACAACTTCAGGCCATTCCCTCGGATCCTGTCACTGGTCACCAGAGAGATGAGATCAGTGCCTGCCCCTCCTCTGCCCCTCAGGAGGATGATGTATCTGCAGTGAGGTCTCCCCTCAGTTTTTGATGAGCTGTTACCATTTTACTGTTAGGCCCAATTCTTCCAATACTCTCACAATAGTCAATCCTTCTCTTTACTACTTTGATGAACTAAGATGGGTAAACAGCTATATTTTGCTATTTGCTAAGCAAGCTAATGAATGAATATGTTGAACAGCACAGTGCCTGATATCTCTGCCATCACATCTTGTTAATCATTAATGTGGCTCTCTGTAGAGCTGGACATTCATACAGCATGTATGTAACAGTTAATTACCTCTTTCATGTGGCTCTGCTGCAGAAAACTTGGCAATGAATCCACTTCCAGCAGTGTTGGCATCTGAAGTCATCTGCACCAGCATTTTATTGCTGTTGGATACGAGGGCGCCCGGTTTGGCAGTGCCACAGAACCTGCCGATGCGCTGGCCGTGGGCGTGGCCGTTGTAAATGTCCACAAAGTCATAGCGGCACAGGGGGTCGCTCTCCAGGTCCAGGTATCGAAAAGAAAGAACCACCACTTTGCCCTCTGGGACCTGCAAAGAGATGGAGAGAGAGAGAGGGGGGAGAGATGCATGTTGAGATGAGACTGGCTGTACATATCTGTCAGATCCCTCTGTCTCCCTGACTGTTTCCATGCCCTTCACTTCTCACCAGGAAGCTCTTTTGGTCAATTATGCTCCAGGCAAAGCAGGTTTTACAGTAATCTGGACCAATCATAAATACAAAGCTCTGGCCATCTCTTGCCATTGTCTTATTTCTGATCTGCAGTGTCCTCTAGTCAGGCTCATGCAGTTAATGACAAACCATCGCTGCCCAGTTCAGCTTGGAGCGTTCCTCTTATTTTCTGCTGAAATATGGAATCAGCCCTGCAGCTCCCTGTCACCAAGCAAGGTGAGGATGAGATTAACGTGAAAAAAAATGGAACAAGCAATTTACCATTTTGAAATGGCCTCTCTTTCTGATTTGGGTTATCAAGTTTCATAGTTTGAAGGATTTTTTTGGAATTTATTGACACACATCTTACATCATTTATAAATAAAATTAGAAACCTTATGGATAACACTATTTAGTTATTGGAGTGGCTGCAGTGAAATAATTACATTTAGAAAGACTATGTAAAACTATAAACAAAAGAACCATCAGTGGGTGTCCTCAATACACAGAGTTTTGTTTTCTGAAACATCTGAGGAAACATAAGGCAGGGCAAATCTTCTGACATGCCTGCATCTGGGGACATTGCAAAAGAGACAAGAGTACTGAGGAGGATGTAAATTAAGACAAGTTCACAAGGAGGAGAACATTTCCTGGGATAGAATTGCAAGCTTTTCAGGGAAAAAGCAGCATACTAAGAAGTGAAAATTAATCTAACAAAGCACTTAATGCTGTGTAACAGGACAGGAAAAAAGGAAACAGTATTTTAAAGTATAGAGGGACCTTAGACAGGCAAGTGTAATTATCTGCATTCAATCCATAGCCTGGTAGAGTGGTTAGCTATTAAAATAATTGCAGCTGTTCTGCTTTACTAAGACACTACTATAATTTTCTGCTTTAAACACACTTAATATATCTGCAGTAAGTTCATATTTAAGCCATGATATTTAAGAGTTCATGAATTTTTTTCATTCCTTAACAGTGACTCATTTTAAAACCCCAGTATGAGCTAAACTACAACTGAACTGTTCTTATAAGAAATTGTCAAACAGTGTTTTAATATTGTGAGTCTCAACAGTTAAAAATTACTTGTCAGGTCAGGTGTAGATGGAATTGCTGTAGATGGAAGTGACCATTTAACCCACAGCAGATACTGATACAGCAGCTCCAGATGCAGTGAAGAGTGTGCTGTAGGTGTGTTAAGGTGACTCGTTCATGAAGCTGCTTTTACATGCAGTGCTGATACTGATCCTGCGGCAGGACAGACCTTTTCTTGAATTTGGGGAGGTAAGTAATTCAGAGAAATGTGTGGGGCCCTTAAGCACAGTCACTGCTGAAAGCCATTACTTTATAAAATAATGTACCTGCTTATTAAAATCGTAGATGCCATTCACAAAAATAACACAGTTGTTCCAGTATGGTAAGTCAGTTAAAATTCTGTGGTCTGACTGGATGACAATCAGGAGTGCAGGGGATGGTGGTTCCCTCTTCTGGCAGCAGCCACTCCAGTCTGCAGCTACTCCCAAGAAATCTCCCCCTAAGCACAGGCATCTTCTCAAAACAGTCCTTTCCTTTCATTTCTACCATTTGCTTTTTTACATGTTGAAAAGTAATGTGCTAAAATCTGCCAGTGTTTATCCTAGGACATTTAAAATATTGTTCCATGAGAAACACAGGGGAGAAGGCAAAGGCCAGCGTGACTCAGTATTGTTTACTTTGAGCCTGATGCAGTGAGATGATGGGATACCTCAGAGGAAGAACTGGAAGGAATTCCAGCTCTTAGAAGAAAGGGGGGGGAAGAGGCAGAAGTCAAAGGAAGAATGATGTGATGCTTCCTCTGCAGGGTGTGCCTTATTTTTGTTTTATCCATCCAGCTGGTGCCTTTCAACAACAGAGGCACTTTGGCCTCTCCGTGTCACCAAGAGGGGGACTGACACATACTCACCCTCCGCCTCCCTTCTGATTTTAACTCCATGAACTTCTTTAGCATCAAAAATTACAATGTTAAACCCATGGGAAGGATGCCTTGCTCCTCTTGAAGGCTAATTGAATTTTAGAGGGAGTTTTTCTAGAGCATAATTCCCTAAAGCCATCTGTGTAGATCACTAACTTCTTCAAAAGAGCAGGATTATTTCATGTATACAACCCACCTCAAAATAAGGTCCCTGTAGTGTCTTTGGTTATCATTCACTGCAGGTATTCCATATGATGTTAATCAAAGTTTAGTTACAGTTAAAGTAGTGAAGCTGTTTTTCTGAGCACAAAGCCCTCTTCATCAAAATTCCTTGGTTTAGATTATTTACTTTGAAAATAATCTTTTGGTGGGGAAAACCCCTTAAATGCCAACTTTTGTAAATACATTTTGCCTAGTTTAAAAACCTGTGTTGTATATGGGTTTGATATATGTTCAATACCACATGTTTTGCCATAGCAGCCCTAGGTAGAGTTGAAAAATCCATGCCAAATGTATTGTTTCTCTCTCCTGAGAATGAATGTGGAAGTTATTTGAACCACGATTCCTGCTTAGTGGCTTCTACCCTAGCTACAATTTTAAAAAATTGTATTGGCTGGCTCTTCCTGACAGAGACACTAGATCCTGTTCATCTCTGTCTTTTGGCAGTACAACCATGTGTCAAGATCTGGTCTCTACTGGGAAGGCAGTTTTACAATGATATGGGCAAATGAGCGCTTAAAACATAGAAAAAATTATTTAAAATATTTCCCTCCCTCAGGGCAGATTCCCAACTTCCCTGCTAAGTAAATTTTTCAAACCTTGGTTATTGTCAGCAAACCTGCTGGAACACAGCTCCTGAACCTATAAAAACATAACCTTACATAACTCTGACAGTTGTCAGTATTATTGTTGCACATAAAGTTGTTGGAGTTTTATGGGAACCGAGCGGTCTGCCAGAAAAACACGGCACAGCGCTCCAGATTTTTGGACTGTGTGACACATTTATGTGAGGTGATGGCCAAGAAGGATTACAGAGTATTAGAAGTCAATGTATATGACAGGTTTGAGATAAAGCTCTATACATTACTATAAGAAAGGAAATAGCTGCACAAATGACTCCTTAGCAAAGCCAGCTAAAAGCTGCTGGGTAGTCTGCCAAGGTTGTAATAGAACCACAAGCATGTGCTGAACACTTCTTAGAGCTCTGAGAATGGAGAAGCTGTTTTCTTTAGCCAGCTGAAAAAGTCCCAGTCTCTTGAAATAACAGAACTATAATTGAGCTAGAGAGACTCTTCCAGCTTTAGCAAACCAGTTGGAAAGGTTTCAGCTGATACCTGCATGCTACACTGCTTTATCTGTATTACTCATAACATTGTCTATACCTATTTTCTTCTAAAGAACGGACTAGCTGTCATTCTGCCTCTCTGGGCCTGTCTGCTGCAGCTGAGGAGATCCTGGAGTTGGGAAAACAACAGCTCAGTGCTCCTCGTGACCCAGACACAAAGGGAACAACGTCTCTCTCAGCCTTGCAGACTTGTCAGACCCTGCCTTAGGCAGAGAATGTTCAGGAGGTGTTCACAGCCCTTGGCTAAAACAGGCAGAAAGGCTCAGTCACTTTCTAAGATGATGCCAAATGAGGAAGCCCAGCAGTAACTAGAGAGTATTTCTTCATGGCACTGGAACTGCTCTCTCACTTGGGTGCTATTGCAAGCTGTTCTGAGCCTCAGCAGTATTTGCTGAAAGGATTCTGGTGTTTAAATTCAGGCTAAGCAGACCCTTGACTGTCACACTTTCCCTCAGTTTGGTAAACTCTTTTTAAAGAGGGTACAGGCTTAGTCTTGCAAGTTTTGTAGTCCTTGCCTTCCCTACATCCTTCCTGTCCAGTAGAAGACAGGATGTTCTGCACAGGTGATGGGGGAAGAAATCAGCTTGGCTTAGTGCACAGAACTGTCTAACAGGGGTTAAATGAGGTGAAGGCACAAGCGAGCCTGGACTGCTACAGGTGTGCAGCCCTTCTCTGGCTTTGGGTGAGTTACAGAGAACAAGTAAGCAACAGTCAGAGAGTGGGAGTAAATGGCAGCACAGCAGAAAACTGGGATCAGGATGATCATGAAATGCCAGATGCCCCAAGAAAGCTGGAGTGTAGACACAGGTCTGCTACAACTTTGTAGTAATTGCTTCTTCAGTGCTGCCTCCTTTTTAATCTAAGTTTTCTAATGGTAAAAACTTTGTGCTGTTATGAACAAAATTATTATTCCCCTCCAGATTCAGTTTTGAACCTTTGAAGATCTAATACCGAATCACATGGGTGAACTAACTTTGGCCATTTTCCCCCTTTCGTTTAAGGCACGTGTGTGTGATTCAAAATGCAATTTGCATCTGCTCTTCAGATTGTAAGGTGGGCCCTGCTAATTGCTGTCACCTCAGCCCCCCCCCAGCAGGAAGCAGGTTGATGAGCACACCCTGTGTTTCACATCATACTCCTCTGGATGAAGTCAGTCACACATCAAAGGTAACCTCTAACTCGGCCCCAGTAATAATGCAACAGAAAGCTGCAGAAATCAACTGTGCAACTTTGCTGGGCTCCTCCAGTTAAAATGATTAAATTTACACCACTCATTTGGTACGAGAGTGGTTTTAAACCGAACACTGTAAACAGATCAATGTCTCCTGCTTTGCGTCAGCATCTCTATAGTAGCAGGAAACAATTATCCTGTGACATCCTATTGTCCTGCCAACACCTAGGCTGTGATGCAGTCTTTGAACTGAAGTTGTCTTCAGTGAGCCTGTCAGTACACAGAATAACTTATTTTTTTATGCTTTCTTATATTTTTCCATAGGCCTGAATATCATAAGAGTTCTTAGTGAACTGGGCCTGAAAAACAGAGACGGAATTTGGTGGGCAGTTTCAGATGGTTTAATTTGTGC